ATGAAACTTTCCCTTCATATCTCCAATTTTCTTGAAGAGCTCTCTGGTCCTCCCTATTCTTTTGCTTTCTTCTATTTCTTTACCTCTATTAGTAAGGAACACCTATTTCTTTCAGGAACACCCATAGTTCCTTGTATTCAACACAATTAAAAGGTTTGCTAGAATTTAAAAAGCATAGACCAATTTTCTTCTGAAATACTTTGGTGTGCTACAGTAGCCAACATATATTTGCTATATAATCTTCCATGATTCTTCCTTTCCAGAATCCAGTTTGAATGTCAAGAATTTCTTATTTCATATAGGGGGAAAAGCTTTGTTGCAACACTTTGAATGATACCTTCTTTGCATGGGGAATGGATGCAATAGTCCTATAGTTGCTAAACTTCTTAGCATCTCCTTTGTTGGAATTTGGAATATATATTGAATATTTCCAGTTTGTGGGCCACTGTTTTGCTTTCCATATTTTTGTTAGAATATTGTTAGAATATATTCATTCTATATATTCTATTGTTAGATATTTGGACCAATTCAGTCTCTGCAGCCTGGAATAGTTCTATTGATACCCCATCTACTCTGCAAGCTTTATTCCTTCCAAATGCTTTCAGAACAGGTTTCACTAAAATTTCTAATATTGCAGGTTCTTCCTCACTGGGTTCCTCTTCAAAAGATTGAATAATTCAAAGGACAATTGTCAAAGGAGCCTGTCATTCATCTCTTCTACATAGTTCTACAATGCATTCTTTATTTTATTCTGGTTAGTTAGTATGTTCCCCTGTTCTTTCAGCATTTCTAATCTAGGTTTGCATTTCCCTTTGATTTCTTGGATCTTCTGGAAGAGATCTCTTGTCTTTCCCCTTTTGCCGTTTCATTTCTTTGCACTGACTTTTGTAATGTGTTCTAGTCATCATGAGTAGACAGTTATTCCAATGTACCTAAGAACATACTAACAAATATCTAAAAACTACATAAAACAGTACACTTTGCTTGGCGACCTTTAATTTGCTGCATAATAAATTATATTTAGCTCACAATTTGGAATGCCTCTTTGAACACTCCAGTGTGAGAGTTAGAAAAGTGATTCAGAAGTGTTACAAATAATATAAAGTACCTTTTCAGATGTATAACTTATTCCAAAGCTACCTGTTTGTGTAGTTTTCAAACTTACCATATAGTTAGGCAGTCTATATTCTAACAGCCTAGCTTATGCCTTTGTATTTAGTAATGTCCATATAATGTGCAGTGACATTGATGCAGGTCACTGCTGACTACTGGATTTTAGAAATTATTGAAAGTACTACCTTGTAATCTTTCTTCCCACTAGTCACCTTTCTTCTGAAGTATTAGACACAGATCTTTTGGCTGTAGCCCGAAGACTCAGAAAATGCAGTAACACCTGTTTCTAAACTAAGTGCATTTGTTTATAAGCTACTTGCATGTGTTTGCAGCCTAACACATGCTCTGAACTTACAATCAGGTGTGCTTTGGATCACCTTTTAACAGGTAGTGGAGACAAAGAAATCATCAGTCTCAAAGAGGCTACACAACTGTCTGTGAACAAGCCCATAGAAAAGAAAATAGTTCAGTAAGGTGGGTTGTTCGAACCAAGACATGGCAGGGACCATTTGAAGCATCTTAACAAGTCAAGCATCCAGTCAAACTTTACTCATTGTGTATTCATATCTTTGCCATATCAGAAAATGATTTTACCTTCTTTCAACTTTCTATGCTGTTTGTACACATTTCAAATATACCTAGGATTGTATGCAATGATTTGAAGCAAATGTTACTTTCTATTCATTTCAGTGGCTTACTTTAAGTAAACAGCTGCCTTTTTTCTCAGTCCTCTTCAATTTCTCAGTTCTTTTTTATTAAAAAATAACTCTGTCACAAGTATTTAAATAAAGAGGCTTGCATTGGAATGTAACCTTGTCTGAATTCTTGTGAGAACAATCAAGCCAAGGTCCCCAAACCTTTCTCTGATTCATTCAAGGGGTGTGATGGGTATTCCCAGTCCTTGGAAGGACTGGGGTACACGTTCCTGAATCTCTGGTGGGTAACTTACATTTTCTTGTAGAAATGATCCAGTGTAGAAATGGAGGACTGAGGGAGCCCTGAGCCTCTTTTGCCCATCCCTTATATGGATCTCTATCAGTACTGTACCACAGTGGTGGAGTTGTTTTTTTACTACTGCAGCCATTTCTTACCCATTTTCCTGTTGGGTATTATCCTTTGTATCTGTAATACTTTAGGTTTGTACAATTCATATGTTACAGAACTATCAGTCTTGAAAGCAGTAAACAGCAGCAGAGTCGAACCCTTTGTTGGCTTTTCCATATTTGAAACCAGGCCATTTCATACTGTACTCCAGTTTCATCTTTTCAGGCACTTACATGCCTTCCTCTTCTCAGTTCTTTGTAGGATTACAGCAGCCTTCCTTGCAGGTGAATTAGTGCTGTTGGTGGAGCAGCATACAGAGTAGGCACCACACTGGATGCAGTCT